TCAACACCTGTCAACTCTGCAGGTCTTTCGCCCTCATTCGTCTTCTTTATGACATAGTTGTCATGTTAATTACACCAACATAGATTATAAACGCCATAAGACAGTGTTTTAACTTTTGCTTATATAGTCACATGTATTTTTTAAAAAAAAACAAAAGGAAACTATCGTCTTTCATACCTGGTGCAGGTCTATGGGTGACAAATTCTCTTAGTTTTGTTTTATCTGAAAATATCTTTATTTTGCCTTTTTAAAAATTTATTTATTTATTTAGAGACAGGGTCTCGCTCTGTTGCCCCAGGTGGAGAGCTGTGGTGTCATCACAGCTCACTGCAGCCTCCAATTCCTGGGCTCAAGCGATCCTCCTGCCTCAGCCTCCCGGGTAGCTGGGACCACAGGTGCCACCACCACACCTGGCTAATTGTTTTCTATTATTAATAGAGATGGGGGTCTCGCTCTTGCTCAGGCTGGTCTCCAACCCCTGGTCTCAAGTGATCCTCCGGCCTCGGCCTCCCAGGGTGCTGGGATTACAGGTGTGAGCCACCGCGCCCGGCCTAGGATATTTTCAATGAATATAGAATTATGGGTTGGCAATTTTTAAAAATTTTACTTCAACACTTCCAATATGTGTGTGAGTTATCCGTGTATGGCCTCTTGTCTCCAAATGGACCCTTCAATATGCGCTGTGATAAACGAGGGACTTCCTTTTGTCATATTTCCTTTCAAGTGAGCACGATGCTACGTTTCCTCAGTAGAGGGCGCTGGTAAGACATCGGTGACACAGGCGTGAAGCCGGACAGCGGGTGCAGCCTGCCCGGGGTCGTGGGTCGCAAGGCGGCACCCCTGTGACCTTGCATTCTTGACCTGGTGAAGCCCTTTCTGAGCCCTCGCCACACAAAACGGAGTGGCGACTCCCGAATAGTGAAAGTGTCTGCAGGTCTCCTGCCCGCACCGGCACCTGGAACCCCAACACACGCCCACAGCGCCGGGTGCGGATCACCTGTCCCCACACCTGCCCTCTGCAGGGCGACTTTTGCTTGTTCAGCAACTCCAGACCAGCGCTGGCACAGTGGCCGCGCCAGCAAACATCTCTGCCCTCTGGTGGGCAGAGCCGTGCCCTCTTCGAAAGTTTGGAATCCCTTCCAAATTTTGCTCTGAATGCTTTCAAGATCTGATCTTTATTTTTTGGGACTTCGGCTGTGTCGGGCCCAGGTGTGGTTTTGTTTTACTTTTTCATATTTATCTTGTGTAGAGTTGTTGAACTTTTTCAATCTGTAAAATTTTTTTTGGAAAAATTTTGGCCATTATTTCTTCAAATATTTTTTATGCCCTTCCCTTTTTGGGGGGACTCTAGTTACACGTATGTTAGGCCTTTCGATATTGTCCCGCAGGTCTGTACATCTTGCTGTATGGCCCAATTTTTTGTTGTTGTTGTGTTCCTCAGATTAGATCATTCTTACCTATATTCAAGGTAAGAATATAGGTCTGACTCTTCTGTCATCCGCACTTTTGTTGTTCAGCCCGTCCAGTACATATTTAAATTTCAGATTGTTTTCAGTTTCAGAATTTCCACCTGATTCTCTTCTAATATATCTCTTTTTTTAAACTTCTCTGCTGAGATGCTCTATCTCTTCATTTGTTATGAGCACATTTTCCTGTTTAGCATAATTATAATTGCTGCTCTAAAGCCTTGTGTGCTGATCCCAACATCCGGGCACCTTCGGTCATACTCCACTGATCACTTTTTCTCGTGAGAATGAGTTGCATATTCCTGCGTATCTGTATGTTGAGTAATTTTGGATTGTATTCTAGACATTGTGAATGTTACGTTCTGGAGGTACTGGATTCTGTTATATTCTTCCAAAAACTATGCCTGCTTTTGCCTTTGCAGGTAGTTAACTCAACTGGACTCAAACTGCAAACTGTTGAGAGGTACATAGTCTTCAGCCTTATCGGGCTACACGGAATATGCTCCGATATTCCAGCCCGTGAGGCGGGCAGTTTACATGCCACATCTGGAGCTCGCCCTCTCTGCCAGTCTCCTTTCTGGGATTCCTTCTGACTTTCTGGTAGCCAGGGTTGCCCCAAACTCTGCTCTCTGGTTCTTGAAACCAGAAAGAAGGAGGGCTTTCTATGTGACTTCTAATCTTTGTATGAGGAACTGAACAGGGCCTGCCTTTGGGCTAAAACCCATAACAAATGGGAAACTCCAAGTGCCAACTCCCCTTAAGAATCTGCCTGCTTTTGTTATATCCCCGATGTCTTCAGGAAGATTTTTGTATTTTGTCTGGCATTTATAGTTGTTGCCTGAGGGAGACTTAGTCCAGTAGAAACCACTTTGATATACCCTCATGCTTTTTTCTTTTCTTTTTTTCTGAGACAGGGTCTCACTCTGTCACCCGGACTGGAGTGCAGTGATGTCATCATAGCTCACTGCAATCTCCAACTCCTGGGCTCAAGCGATCCTCCTGTCTCAGCCTCCCAAGTAGCTGGGACTATAGGTGCACACCATCGCACCCAGATAATTCTTCTATTTTTAGTAGAGACGGGGTCTCGAACTCCTGAGCTCAAGCGATCCTCCTGCCTCGGCCTCCCAGAGGGCTAGGGTTACAAGTGTGAGCCACCACGCCCGGCCCGGACACCATTTCTAAGGGCTGGATATCATGCTCGTGTAGGAATGTTCTGTTAATTAATTTAAGCCACCCCTATGTTCATAAGCATCTGGGTCTTGTCCAGTATTTTTTTGTTTTTGTTTTTGGGTTTTTTTTTTCTGAGACAAGGTCTCACTGTGTTGCCCGGGCTAGAATGCCGTGGCGTCATCCTAGCTCACAGCAACCTCAAACTCCTGGGCTCAGGTGATCCTCCTGCCTCAGCCTCCCGAGTAGCTGGGACTACAGGCATGCACCACCATGCCCGGCTAATTTTTTCTATATATTTTTAGTTGTCCAATTAATTTCTTTCTAATTTTAGTAGAGACGGGATCTCGCTCTTGCTCAGGCTGGTTTCGAACTCCTGAGCTCGAACAATCCGCCCGCCTTGGCCTCCCAGTTAGGATTACAGGCGTGAGCCACCGCGCCCGGCCCTCTTGTCCAGTTTTTACTCTTCTAAGCAGTATAGTGATGGGGGGGAGAAAAAAAGAAAAATAAACAATACAGTGATGGAGACCCTTGAACACACTTCTTGGTGCATTTGTAGCTGAACCCCTACTAGTCAACGTTTTGGTTATTTACAGTTGTTTTGTTTGGTTTTTAACTACAGAATAACATGGGGTGAACTTCCTTGTACATTCAGGCTTTGTGGACTTGAATTTTTTTTCTTTCCGAATTTAGCTTTTTTTGCTTCTAACATTTCTTCTCATGTTGGTCTTGAGCACAGAGCCAGCCCAGGGCAGTGCACTGCATGTTGCATGGGATGAAGGGTTGAAGGCTGCCTCCTCCTCTTGCAGGCTGGCTTCTGAGATTGCACCTCTTCTCCTGCTCCTCCTCCAACTCTATGACCTTCCAAGGTAAGAAGGTGGCTGGGCAAGGGGTCTGGCTGGCCTAGCCTGAAGAGGGGAGCTTCTGCCAAACCAGTATGCTATCCCCCCAACTTGACAGGATCCCAACTCTCCATGCCCCCAAGTTACTTCTGAAAGCCACAGTCATTCCCTTTCTTCCTTGTCTCCACCCTTCCATCTGCCAGTGATCTATGCACCATCACCAGCCATACACATCTATTCCCTAATCCACTCGCCCATCCAACCATCCATCCATCCATCAGTTCACCTCCTGTTTATCTCTTCACCCATCCCTTCAGCTCACTTCATTTACACATCCATTTATCTGTTCAGCTTTCGTCTATCCATCTATACACCCATCCATCCATCCATGCATTGATTCCCCCATCTATCTATTCGTCCATCCACCTGTTCCTTCCTCCCTCTATCCATTTATCAGTCCATCTATCCATCCATCCATGCATCCATCCATCCATCCATCCATCTGTGCATCCATCCATCCATCCGCCCATCCATCCATGCATCCATCTATGTATCCATCCTTCCATCCATCCATCCATGCATCCAGGTATCCACCCATGCATTCATGTATCCATCCATCCATCTATGTATCCATCCATCCTTCCTCCCTCTATGCATTTATCAATCCATCCATCCATCCTTCCACCTGCCCGCCCATCCATCCATCTACTTACCTATTCTTCCCTCTCTCTATCCATTTATCCATCCATCCACCCATCTACTCATCAGTCCATTCACCTATCCATCCATCCATCCATGTGTCCATTTTTCTATTCATTTACCTGTTCATCACTTCATTCATCAACTTCATTTACCCATTCATTCTTCTACCCAGCCCTTCATCTAGCTTTGAACTCAAACCCATCCACCATTCATGCATGCACTGATTTATCCATTCAGCACCTATTCTCCTGTCTGTCTGTCTATCCAACTTCCAATTCACTCACCATTTATCAGCCAAGACACCCACCCACCAAACACCTACCCATTCACAGCTTGGAGCCAAGCCCTGTGACTGAGATGGGGACACAGAAATAACTCAGACCTTGTTCCTACCCTTTAGGAATTCACAGTTAATGTGGAGAGGCAAATAAAACACACACGCACGCGCGCACGCACACACACACACACACCCAGAGGCAAACAGGAAATTTCCGAAACAGTGTGGTCCGTGCTTTACTCAGAGTGCGTTCAAGACGTAGAGATTGCAAAGCTGGTAGGTGGTCAGGATTCAGGTGAGAACATGCACTGCTGGTGGCCACGGTTTAATGAGAGATCGATACATACACAAGTACCAAAAGCCACCGGGGCAGGTGGTCAGGAGAGCGAGGGATGGATAAAGGGAGGAGGAGGACTGCCAGGTGCAAGAACAAGCGGACCTGGGTCTTGGGGCGAGCGTCTGCCCCGGCAGACCTGCAGGGTCTCCACTCCCCGTGTATCCCCCACCACCCCACAGGCAGAGCTGACCTGCTCAGGAACCGGGACGATGCAGCGAGCAGCACAGCCACGGCTCCCAAACCAGCTGCCGCCCGGGGGCCAGTGCTTCCTCCGGCCCCTGCCTGCCCCTGGTCTCCAACACAATTTGGGGAGAGGGTCTCCACAGCCCCACTATGGGCCCCAGAACGCCAAGGAACGCCTCTCGCAACAGCTGGCCGAGGCCAAGACGGCACCCGGGCGCATCCCACTCCTCCGGGCTGTGGTCGAGAGCCAGGCCTTCAAGAACATCCTGGTGGACGAGATGGACATGATGCTGTCCCGCGCGGCCACCCTCATCCAGGCCAACTGGAGGCGCTACCGCCTCCAGCAGAAGTTGATTTCCCAGGTGACGGCGGCCAAGGCCATCCAGGAGGCCTGGCGGCGCTTCAGCATGAGACGCCTCCTCCGGTCTAGCAAGTCGATGGTGAAGAAGGTGACAGCAGAGGAGGGGGACATCCCTTACCACGCGCCACAGCAGGTGCGGTTCCAGCACCAGGAGGAGAACCGCCTCCTGTGCAAGCACAGGATGGTGAGCAAGGAGACGCAGTGCCCTTCCTCCGACAGCCTGGCCCCCAGCAGCGCCCGGCCAGCGCCGCTCCCGCAGCCCCCGGAGTCTGTGTGCCCGGCTGCTCCTCGCGCCCCCGGGGTGGCCTTCCTGCCGCACCAGACGGTCGCCATCCGATTTCCATGCCCAGTGAGTATAGACACGAAATGCCAGCCAGGCCTGCTGACCGAAACTGTCAGAAGTGCCTGCCTCATCCACATAGAGGGTGACACCGTGAAGACCAAGCATGTGACTGCCAGAACCAACAAAGCGGGGGCCTCAAAGCCACCGCCGTCGGGAAAGTATAGCCAGGCAGTTGCCAGACCACTCAAGATCCAAACCCAGGCCCACGTGGAAACGGAGACCTTTAAAGGCCCCCTCCAGATATGCCCTGAGCCCGTGATCACGAAGACCCCGCCACAGACACATCCAGTGGTCCCCATGACCAAGACCCCGCCCAAGACGAGCCCAGTGCCCATGATGACAATGACCAAGACCCCTCCCCAGGTCTCAGTAACCAAGACCCCAGCCCAGACATATCCGGGGCCCACAGTGATGACCAAGACCCCAGCCCCGGTGCGCCCAGCAGCCTCGATGACCAGCACTCCACTGCAGCCACGCCCCACGGCCACGGTGGCCAAGATCCCACCCCAGGTGTGCCTGCTGGCCTCAATGTTCAAGCCTCTGCCCCAGACACGTCACATGGCCGTGATGACCAAGACCCCACCCCAGGTACATCTGGCGACCCCCGGGGCCAAAAGCTCACCGCAAGCCAGCCAAGTGGCCACCGCGTCCAAGACTTCATCCCAGACGTGCCCGGCCACCTCGATAACCAAGCCCCGAGCCCAGATGCGCCTGGCAGCCATGCTAACCAAGACCCCAGCCCAGGTGGCCACTGTCCTGAGGACACTGTGCCTGGCCCCTCCAACAGCTGGGACTCCGAAGGCTCCACCTCAAGCAGTGGTAACAGCCGGAATTCTCAACACCTCGTCCCCTACTCATCTGAACATACCAAAGGCCAAGGCCGCCACGAACATGAAGCAGGCCCCGGGGGCGGTGAGGGTCTCGCCTCAGTCCTACCTGGCTGACGGCAAGGTCAAATGCTTCCCCCAGCCACATCCAGGTGCAGCGGCTCCCAAGGCCGTGGACAAGCCTCCGCTGGAGGCTGAGACAATCAGGGCCGGCCCCCAGAAACTGGGGAACGCAGACACAGCCTCTAAGAGCAGCATGGCCGTGGGAATGACCAGGGCTATGTCCTGGACGAAAGTTGTCGAGGAAGGAAACAAGGACTCATTGCAGGCTCACCTGAGGACAGAAGTTGTTAAGGTCCAGTCCCAGGTGGATGTGCCTATAGAAATGGCTGTGACCCTGCCCCAGGGACAGCCGGCCACCTCGCTGCCCAAGGCCCTGTGCCATGAACGTCCACCCTGTGTGTCCCAGGGACAGCCGGCCACCTCGCTGCCCAAGGCCTTGTCCCAGGTATGTCCGCCCGCCGAGCTGACCCTAACACAGCTGGGCGCATGTTCGGCCAAGGCCTCATCCCAGCTGCATCTGCCCACCAAGGTGACCAAGGCCCCCTCGCTAGCTCATCTTGTCACATGTCTGAACAGGGTGCATTCCCAGTCACATCTGGCCACCAGGCTGACGAAGGCACAGTCGCAGGCCCAGCTGGTCACAGACACAGCCAAGTGCCTCTTCACAGCCCACCAAGCCGCTGACCTCACCAGCAAGACCCAGTCCCAGCCACTGCTGGCCGGGTCCAAGGCATCCACTCAGCCCTGCCAGCATCTCGGCGTCCTCGGCACTCCACCCCGAGCCAAGCCAGAGGACAGACTGACCCAGCTCCAGCCCCACAGCCGCGTGCTGAGCAAGACCTCCCAGAGCCCAAGCCCGGTGTGCCCTGACAGCCAGGGCACGCTGGTGCCCGTGCTGGGATCCGCCGGGCAGCCCACATGCAACATTGAATCCTGGGGAGACAGCGGGGCCGTGCGGGCCCAGCCATTGCTGCCCAGCCAGGCTGCGCCCTGCCAAGAGGACCTGGTGGCCTCCCAGCTGGCCTCCCTGTGTGCTGAGCTGGCCGCCGTGCTGGGCTCCCAGGAGGACCTCCGCACCCTGCTGGCCAAAGCCCTCTCCCAGGGAGAAGTCCGGGCAGCCCTGAACCAGGTCCTGTCCAGGGAGGTCCTGGGCGCCACGGTGGCCAAGGCCCTGCCCCAGGGCTTGCTGGGCATGGTGCTGGTGAAGGCGTTGTCCTGGAGCGAACTGGGCGTCACCCTGTCCCGAGCCCTGTCCCGGGGCGAGCTGCGGGCGGAGCTCGCCAAGGCCATGCAGGGCAAGTTGGCCGAGGTTCTCAGCAAGGCCCTGACCGAGGAGGAGCGGGCAGCTCTGAGTCAGGCCCTGTGTCAGGGTGAGCTGGGCGCCGTCCTGAGCCAGTCTTTGTCGCAGGCGGCCCTGAGGACCGGAGCCATCCTCCCCAAGGCCGCCACGAAAACAGCGGGCAGCGGGATGACTGTGACGCCAGCCCCGGTGGCGGTGGACTGCAGGGGGAGCCTGTCGGCCCCGTGGGGGCCCGCCCTGGGCCTCGTGGGAACGCGGCGCAGCAAGGTCAGGGGCTCCCAGGTCGGGGCCTGGGGGGGCTTCGCCAGGGGCTGGCCCGCGGGGCCCGTGCAGGAGGTGGGGGACGGGGCCATGGCGTGGGGGCTACCCTACTTATCCGTGGTCCCTGTGGGAGCCTCTGTGACCAGTAGGGCGATCACCAGCATTCCCCAGTGTCCCCCGAGCACTGGCCTGGACCCCATGCTGTCCTGGGAGATGAGGCCTGGCAGGGACTTCTCAAACCTGTATTTGAGCCCGAAATTCGGGAGGGAAAATGGGTACCTGACACTGGGGGCGGGTGAATCGGCATCAGACCTCAGCCCCGAGGGGAGCGGGGAGGGCCCCGACTTGCCCAGGCAACCTGCCCTGCGGCCGCCACTCGGTCTGTGGCAGCCGCTCATTGCCAACGGTGTGGGCCCGAGCACGAGCCAGCCCTCGGTGGCCTACGGCACGGCCCCAAGCTCCCACAAGCCACACACGGTTAGCAGGGTGGCCCCTCATCCATGGGCGTCGACGGGGGCGGGCAGGGTGGCCTCGGGCAGGCTTGTGGGCAGCGTGAGCAGCGGCAGGGCTGCCCGTGTCCTGCAGCCATACCCCGCCTGTGGGGGCGCCGCTTGTTGGTGTCAGTCCTCAAGGGTCAACAAGGGGCTTCCCAGTCTGCATCGACCCTCAGGGACTGGAGTTCAGCCACCCAGGGCCTCTGAGGAGACCCTGCAGAGGAGGACTCAGCCTCCAGATGACAAACAGGCCTCCCCGGGTCCCAGGGAGGTGATGAGCAAGGCGACCCCAAGTGCACCGCGAGCGGCCGCGGTGAGCAAAGCGCAGGCACCCAGCATTCGGGGGTACAGCCTGTTCCACGCTGTCCCGGGCAGTGGGCTGGCGAAAGTCTGTGCCCAGACATCCGTCCCTGGACAGCTCAGAAATGCAGCAGAGCGTGCTGTTTCAGCCTCGCCCTGCCCCCAGGAGCGAGCCACTGACCGCCCCGTGTCCACTCTCGGTGAGTTCATGGTCAGCCTGCCGCGGGGGCCGGACAGTGGCCTGGCCAGAAACTTCTCCCAGGGCTCCCTGATCTACAGCCCGGATGAGAGCAAGCCCCATAGCCCCCTGCAAAGATACACCTCCCTCAGCCCTTCCACCGCGTCTGAGGTCAGCCTCACTGCTGCCGACCTGGCGGAGGACCCCTGGGAAGGCGGCTTAGAAGGGGACCTCCGGCTGGCACCCCTCCTCCCTCAGGAGACCAGGCTGCGGCTCCAGAGGTTTGGGGATATAGCAGAGACCGAGCTAGTTGGCCATAGATACTGGACCCCAGACCTTCCCTGCCAGCCCGCGATGGCCTTGGAGAAAGTGCCACCTGCCCACCACAGTTCCGTGTCCAGCCGCCTCACGCTGAGTGTGCGCTGGGGCTCAGACAGTGAGATAGCCCCGTTCTCCTCAGGCCAAAACTCCGTAAATCTCATCGAGAAAATGCCTCAGACAACCTTCAGAACAAAACTGAGGAGGACTCTGTCTTTAGGGACGGTGGCTCTGCCTGTAGGTCAGCAGCCATATGTGGCCAAGCGCTTGGCCCCAAGCCTGTCCCAGCCTACACTGGCTATTAGGGTGGACCCAAACCTAGGTCACTTTCCAGGGGCCAGTAAGTTTACCTTCAGCCTATCCCAGCAGACAGCGTCTAGTAAGGTGTCCCCAGGCCCAGCCCATCCATCTATGGCCAGTGGGGTGGCACTCAGTCTAGGCCAGCCATCTGCCACCAATTGGGCAGCTAATGGGGTGGCCCCAGGCCCGGCCCAGCCATCTACGGCCAGTGGGGTGGCCCTCAGCCTAGGCTGGCCATCTGCCACCAATCAGGCAGCTAATGGGGCAGCCTCAGGCCCAGCCCAGCCATCTATGGCCAGTGGGGTGGCCCTCAGCCTAGGCCGGCCATCTGCCACCAATCGGGCAGCTAATGGGGCAGCCCCAGGCCCAGCCCAGCCATCTACAGCCAGTGGGGTGGCCCTCAGCCTAGGCTGGCCATCTGCCACCAATCGGGCAGCTAATGGGGCGGCCCCAGGTCCAGCCCAACCATCTACGGCCAATGGGGTGGCCCCAGAACTAGCCCAGCCTTCTACGGCCAATGGGATGGCCCCAGGGCTAGCCCAGCCTTCTAGGGCCAATGGGGTGGCCCCAGGGCCAGCCCAGTCTTCTGTCACTGACGGGGAGGCCCCAGAGCTAGCCCAGCCTTCTAGGGCCAATGGGGCAGCCCCAGGGCCAGCCCAGCCTTCTATCACTGATGAGGTGGCCCCAGGGCCAGCCCAGCCTTCTAACACCAATGAGGTGGCCCCAGGGCCAACCCAGCCACCTTTGGCCAGTAGGGCGTCCTCAAGCCTAGCCCGGCCATCTATGACCCGTAAGAGGCCCTCACGCCTAGGCCACCCCTTGATGGCCAGTGGGATATCCCCAAGCCTAGCCCAGCCTTCTAGGGCCAATGGGGTGGCCCCAGGGCTAGCCAAGCCATCTCAGGTGATTTGGGTGTCCTCAGGCATAGTCCCGCCACCTTTGGCCAGTGGGGTGTCCCCAAGCCTAGCCTACACATCTATGGCCAATGAGGTGGCCCCCAGTATAGCTCAACCACCTCAGACCCCTGGGGTGTCCCCAAGCCTAGCCCAGACACCTATGATCAGTGGGGTATCCCCCATTTTGCCTCATCAATCTGGGATCACTGGGGTGTCCCCAAGCCTAGGCCAGCCATTAGGACCCAATGGGGTGTCCCCAAGCCCAGGCCAGCCATTAGGACCCAGTGGGGTGTCCCCAAGCCTAGCCTACCCATATATGGCCAATGGGGTGTCCCCAAGCCCAGCCCAGCCATTAGGACCCAGTGGAGCGTCCCCAAGCCTAGGTTTCCCATTAGGACCCAGTGAGGTGTCCCCAAGCCTAGCCTACCCATACATGGCCAGTGGGGTGTCCCCAAGCCCAGCCCAGCCATCTATGGCCATGGGGGTGGCCCCCAGCTTATTCCAGCCATCCGTGGCCCGTGGGGAGGCCCTAAGCCTGGTCCAGCCACCTATGGCCACTATGTTGGCCTCGAGCCTACCCCAGCCATCTGTGGTGAGCCTCGGCGAGCCAGGCTGGGTTCCCAGGATGGAGTCACATGTGCCGTGCCCAAGGCTGGACGCGGTAGCCCCTGGTCTGTGCCATTCTTCAATTGTCATTTCGGTCAGCTCAGGTAGACCCTACCCATGTGTGGCTGGTGGCATGGACCACGGTTTCAGCCGACCACTGCCAGGGACCGGGATGGACCCGTGTGAAGAGCCCCTGAGGGCTGGTGGGGTGGTCTCCAGCTTCCAGGACTCTGACTTCGACCACGTGCCCGCTGGGTTCCCGCAGCCCCCCAGTGTCAGCGGGAGGCACTTGGGCGTGTGCCCATCCTCTGTGGTCACCGTTTCAACACCAAATCTCTACCAGGCCCCTCCGGCTGACGAGGAGGCCTGCAGCCTAGGCCGGGGGTACAGTCTGTCCAAGAGGACGCCGTTCAGGGGCCTGGCTGCGAACTCGCCCCAGGGGCCGATGGCCACGCCTATGCTCCTTAGCATGTCTCAGGGGACCGCTGGCCTGCGTGGGAGTCCCTCCCAGAGAAATGTAGCAGCTGGTACGGGCCAAAGTCCACATCGGGTGGCCGATGGCCCGGTTCCCATTGCATGCCAGGTCTGGGACGCAGCTGGTCCTTTGATTCACAGGGGAACCTCTGTGGCCACAGGGGTGGGCCCCAGCCTCCCTCCGGCTTCAGCGCCCAACAGACGGGGGAGGGACCTGTCCAAACGCTGCACAATGGACGTGAGCCCCAGCACGTCTCAGGTCAACGTCGCCGTTCCAGTACCTCTGGACCACGGCCACTCTGCCGTGGCGCTGATCGACCCGTCTGCTTGCCAACAGGCGGAGACTGTCCCACAGGACCCTGTGGTGGGCACAGTGGGGGGTGGTCTTGTGCCAGGCTCCACAGCCCATAGGATGACCCCACATGTGGCCCCAGGCACCATGCCTGGTGGCATAGCTGCCAGCCTTCCCCCAGGGTCCGTGATCAGGGGTGTGGGCCAGAGCCTTCCCCGTGGTTCTATGGCCAGTAGGGCGGCCCGCAGCCCGACGGCAGCACGTGGCGCCGACAGGAAGAAGCGCGGTCTGTCGGCAAGCCCCTCGGCCTCCGCAGCAGCCCCGAGCCTTCCCCGGAGCTGCGTGTTAACTGGAGTCACTCCCCGCCCTTACCACGGAGTGGCCGTGGAGAGGTGCATAGCCCCCGTGCAGGTGGCTCATGCCACCAGCCTGGCTCAGGCTCACCCTCCGCCCTCGAGAGCCAGGAGTCTGCACCGCGAGCCCGCGGTTCTGTCAAGGGCCTTACAATTGAGCCAAGGTCATGGGTCGATGTCACATGGGGCCACAGAGGGCCGGGCCGCAGAGAAGCCGGGAGCGTTACAGGAGGCGCTCTCCCATGCGTCAGGGTCCAGTGTGGAGTCCGATGACTTAACCAGCAAAGCCACTGTCCTTGAGGCAACCCCGTGGATGGACCACGGTCTCTCAGGAGACAGTGTTGGCCGCCACCATAGGTCCTCGCATGAGCGGGAGACTCTTCCCCAAGGCCCAGTGCCATTGTTTGGGGAGGCTGCTCCCAGCCAAGCCAAAGGCACGGTCCCTGTCCCTTTCCAGCCCAAGCACCCCATGGCCAGCAGCAGCACCCCAGCTCTGCAGCCAAAGTCAGCAACCAGTGGTGGGTTCCCCAGCTCCCCTCTCGTGGCTGTTAGCGGGGCCCCTAACATGCAGAGGAGGTCTGTGGTTGGCAGGGCCCCTGAGGCCCCCTCAGTTCAACAGCAGCCTGTGGCTCACGTCGGACCCCAAAGCCATTACCAAGGGACAGTGGCCTCTACTGTAGGCCCAAGATCACCCCAGCCAGCCCATGGCAGTACCATGGCACCCGGATTGCACCCGGGGTCTGTGGCCAGGACGGGGAACCCTCCTCTTCCCCAGAGGTCAGGGCCTCTCAGAGTGAACTCACTCGTGCTGCCGTATCTGTCCGCGGCTAGAAAGGAAGCGTCCGGTCACCTCCAGACGAGCGCTGTCCCCAGTGCACTCCAGAAACCAGTGTCTGGGGACCCGGCTCAGAGCAGCCGCCGTGAGTCTGTCGGCCACAAAAAACCCTTCAGATCCGTCTATGGCAGTATCATTCCCGAGCTACTAGAAGGATCTTTGGCCAGGGTTGTGCCCTCCCGCGAGGTGCGGAAGCAAGCACCCCAGGCCCCCTCGTGCCCCAGGCACACCACGGGTGTACCCATGGCAGGCTTAACCCCCATCGTCCGCTCCAAGGATGTGGTGCCCGGCACGGCCACCCCTAGGCTGTCCCCTGGCGTTCGGAGGGTGTCTCTGGGCTTCGAGTCTTCACCGAGTGGTTCCCTGAGGCCCCTCTTTACCCAGGACACATCGCTGGGGTCACAGGCCTTCATGAGTCCTGCAGCCAGTCACAAGGCACCCCTAAACCCCACTGTACTCCAGGGCCCCGGGGATGCTGGCGTGGCTGGTGGCCAATCGTGGAACTCCGCTGTGCCCAGTGTAGCGGTCCAGCCCACGGGCTGCACTGTGGCCCCCCGCGGTGTATGGGAGCCAGCCAGGGACCCAGCGCCATGGGAGAAGGTGCGCAACCCGGCGGCGGTGGATCCCAGGCTGTCGCCGGAGCTGACGGTGTCAATGCAGACTGTGGAGGTGATACTCACCCGCGCAGTGGTCACCATCCAAGCGGGCGTGCGTGGCTACCTGGTGCGCCGCACCATCAGGATGTGGCACGTGATGGCCACGGTCATCCAAGCTCACTGGCGCGGCTACCGCGTGCGGCGGAACCTGGCGCGGCTCTACCAAGCCATCACGCTCATCCAGGCTGCGTGGCGAGGCTACTGCACCCGCAGGGACAACTCCCGGCGCCAGCAAATGCGCCTCCCAGTCATGTGGGCCGAGCTGCGCCACGGGTCGGTGGCCGCCTCCGACCAACCCTGCTTCCAGGAGCGCGCGGCCAGGACCGCGTCGGACCACCGCTGTTTCCAGTCCTGCCAGCCCCGCGCTTGCAGCCTCTGCCAGTCGCTGAGCTCGGGGCTGGGGAGCCCGCCCAGCGTGGTGATGCTCGTGGGCTCCAGCCCCCGCACCTGCCACACGTGCGGGCACAGCCAGCCCACGCGGGTGGTGCAGGGCATGGGCCGGGGCGCCACGGGCCAGGGAGGCGCGCCGCGCTCCCCAGGCTCCCCCCTGGGGCCCCAGAACCCCGGACAGCAGCTGCATCGCCAGAACAAGGCGGCCACCTCCATCCAGTCCGCCTGGAGGGGCTTCAGGGTCCGCCGCCAGGTGACGGAGCAGCAGAAGGCAGCCAAGATGGTCCAGGCCACCTGGAGAGGCCACTACACCCGGAACTGCCTCACCACGGACGCGCTCTTGGGCCGCACGAGCCCGTGGGCCGGCTTGCCGCACTGGCACTCGTTTTGGCCTGGCGTCTAGAAACCTGGCGGCCAGCAGGGGACTCTGGGGAGGGCCGTATGGCTCTCTGGGTCTCATTAATAAAGCCCTCCACAGCCTGGACCTCCGTGAGTGTTCTGAGTTAATGGGAGCGTCTCAGGCACGGCAGGGGATCTGGGACATCCCAGAGCGGAGGGGGCCCCAAAGCTTCCAACCATACACTTGGCACCCGGGGATGGTGGCCAGGATGGGGACCCCAAGTCTTCTCTGGAGGTCAGGGGCTGCTAGTGAGGCCTCACCTGGGCCACCGTACCCGTCCGTGGCTAGCGGGGTGGTTCCGGCTCAGTTCCCAGGGAAGCTCTCCCCAGTGCATTCCAGAAACCGGCGTCTGGGGCCTGACCAGAGCCCCTCTGCGAGTCCCTCAGCCCCAGAAGGTTCTACAGGTGCCCGATAGGTGGGAATGCCAGAGGCTTTCGGTCGTGGCCCACGCTTAGCCGGGACGCTGGGCCACGCCCAGCAAGGCCCCGGTCTGGTGAGGCAGAGCAGGACGGAGATACCCCAGCCCTGCGGGGTCAGGGACAGGGCGGAGGAGGGGAGGGGCCGGCGGTGCCCAGAGCGGGCAGCCTGGCCGGGGGAGGGACAGAGAGGATGACGGCGCGGCTTTGGGGGCGGGTGCTGAGCCGGCAAAGGGAGGGGCGGGAAGTCCAGAGTGGATGGCAGGGTTCGCGGGCTTCAGGGTCGAAGTCCAGGCGGGGTGTTAGAGGGGTGGGGTCCAGGCGAAGAGGAGGGGCAAGAACCGCACCCCTGCAGGACAGGCCCCGCCTTCGCCTCACCCCTGCACAGCCACGTGCTCTGCCAGCAGGGGGCGCGCGCAGGTGTCAGGAGCGGGCGGGCACCTGGCGGCACACCTGTGCCGGCCGGCGGGCCCTCCCCGCGCAGGAATGGCGGGCCCCCTGCCTCCGCCGCTGCTGCTCCTGGCTCTGGTGCGGCTACTGGCAGCTGACGGGAGCACCTCTCCTGCCCTTAGCGCCCTTACAGGTAAGAGTGGGTAAGAGCGAGGCCCGGCTTCCAGGAAGCCGCGGGGCGGGCTGGGGGCACATGGCCGGCCACACACCTGGCTTCTGGACCCCTCCCTTGGGCCTCGCTGACTCCCAGCCCTCTGGGGAAGGCTGTCCTTTCCCCAGAAACAAATGGAGAAGTTAGGACGTCAGAAGGAGCAACCCCTGTCCCCAAGTCCTGGGCTACTGGGTCGGTTTAAAACAGTTCTCTTGGCACAGCCCAGCAAGGGAAAATGGTGAGGACCGCAGGGCCACGGGGGGCCAGGGAACAGGGGCTCATTTCCTGCTTAGGAGGCACCCATGGCTCCCATGAACAAGTTCTTCTTGGTGTCTGACTTAATTCTCTCCTGCTACCCTAGAAGACAGTTCCCAGGGTGGAGTTGAGCTTCTTGCATCCCCCCACCTCCCCCTCCCACCAAGACATCACTCTCTCTGACCGTGTCCCAGCCCCAAAGCTGTAACATCAGAGCAGAGGCCACCACGGCTGGCGTGCTTATCGTAGGTGAGGCGTTCAGTCAGAAGACACCATATGTAGCCCCATTTCATAGCTCAAGAAACTGAGGCTCAGTCCAGCCTGTGCCAGACCCTGATTAGAACCGGCTGACTTGGCTCGTGCTAGCCTCCCAGGCAAGGAGTCTCTGGGAAAAGCAAACACCTGGCCGATACCTGGAAATAGCCCCACTGTACTTCCTGTTAAACTGTCCACCAGCTTGTGAGCGCCCGCTCTGTTCCAGTTACTCAGTAAGGCTTGTGTCCTCCACCTCCTCTTTCAAGGCCCACCAGTTTTCCTCAGTTCAATTTTTTTGGGGTTTTTTGTTCATTTTTTTTTTGAGACAGAGTTTTGCTCTGTCACCCAGGCTAGAGTGCCGTGGCATCAGCCTAGCTCACAGCAACCTCAAACTCCTGGGCTCCAGCAATCCTCCTACCTCAGCCTCCCAAGTAGCTGGGACTACAGGCATGCGCCACCATGCCCGGCTAATTTTTTCTATATATTTTTAGTTGTCCAGATAATTTCTTTCTATTTTTAGTAGAGACGGGGGTCTCGCTCTTGCTCAGGCTGGTCTCGAACTCCTGACCTTGAGCGATCCTCCCACCTCGGCCTCCCAGAGTGCTAGGATTACAGGCGTGAGCCACCGCGCCCGGCCTCTCAGTTCAGTTTTAAAGCTCAGCTCCCCAGAGTTTTGGCTTGGCTTGGGGTCCACTATGGCCTCTGAATCATCTTCATTTCTGCAGAAACCTTTTATAGTCTGGATTCCTCTTCAAATAATGGTGGGAGGTAGTACAGGGAGGCTGACTTCTTAGTTCTTGACTCCTTGGGAGTCTTCGAGGGACCTTCTGCCCACCTTTCCGGTCACTCAGGCCAGGCCCTCTACCACTCTGAACCTCATAACCTCATTTGTAAAATAGAGGTGAATTCAGGCCAGTGCTCCATGCCTCTTCTAGACTCCTTTGTCATCCCCACAGGGCCTGGGAAACTGAACAGAGAGCTGGGGAGCAGGGCGTGGACCCAGGCTCCCTCCCAGGGCCTATGCTGAGTGTCACTTCCGTGTTTCTGCTGCCCGGTGTGAGGCTCAGAGGAAAGGCAGAGTTCTGCCTGGGGCAGAGTGAACGGGGTGGGGCAGTGAGCAGCTGATGGATGAACTTGGAGCACCTAAAGTGCCCGGCCGCCTGGAACTGGACAGGAAGTAGTCGTGGGCGGTGAACTGTTGACCCGCCCCTCAGCCTGGCCCTGGCTCCTTGCCTGGGATGGGGCGGGAGGCGGGGAGGGGCCGGCCCAAGACAGTGCGGGGGTTCCCAGCACTTATGTCTCTGTGGCCCCCATTAAAGCTCTGAGGGACCTTCCGGGGACCTGGGGAAGAAGATTGGGGCCAGCTCCTCCGAGCTCAGGGCAGGTCTGCACAGGCGAGCAGCACCGAGCGCCCACCATGAGCTCGGGTGATGACCCGTCACCAACTTCCCGTGACCTCCATTTTACAAAAAAGGAAACCAAGTCCCAGAAAGTTGAAAGTAGTGGCTCAGCAGCTACCGGCTGCAGCCATTGCCTGCGTCCAAGAGGCTGGGAGCGCCGGCCCGGGCTTGAAACCATTCAAGGAGCTCGACTGCTCCAGGGAGCCTCAGTTTCCCACCGAGCGCGCACGTGGTGTCCTAAATCCTTTGGTCCCGCCTATGAACTGGGCGTTCATTGTCCGTGTGGACAGGGCAGGGGCGGTGCGTGATCACGTGCTCCCTGCACCCCTAACGCTGTTTTTCCTTCCACTTGTTACAGACTCAGCTTCCAGCCCTCTGACCTCTTCTCCCTCCAGCCACAGCACCCCCGGTTCAGGCGGAACCCCCACCACCTACTCCAGCACCTTGGGTTCGGAGTCAGGCCCCACGACCCACCTCAGCCCCTCAAGTTCAGGGGTGGCCTCCTCGGTCCAGCCCGGCCTCAGCTCCGCACATTCAACGGTGGCCTCCGCTGCTCCGCAACCAGAGACAGTCACGCCCCTCAGCCCTGGCTCCCCCAGCGCAGGGCTCTCCCCCACTTCCCATCCCACTGCCGCCGGTTCCACAGCCTTGACCCTGCCCCGGAGCCCCACTTCCCCCAGCCTGGGAATGGAGTCCTCTTCCGCGTCCTTGGCCCCCACGGACCGGACCTCGGAGCCCTCTTCCGCGTCCTTGGCCCGCACAGACGGGACCTCGGAGCCCTCTGGCCCAGGTGAGCATGAAGAGGTTTGAGCATTTGCGGGGAGGTGGCGGGGGTACCAGGATGCAGTTTTGACACTGACCACCAGGCGGAGGCACAGACCCGGGAATGTGCTGGAGACTGCCCTCCCCCACCCCCACCCCCAAGGTCTAAAGCCCTTCCAGGCGTCATTCTGTGCACTTTTGTTTTTTTGTTTTTTTTTTTTGAGAGGAGGGTCTCACTCTGTCGCCCAGGCTGGAGTGCAGTGGCGTCATCACAGCTCACTGCAGCCTCCAACTCCTGGGCTCAAGGGATCCTCCTGCATCAGCCTCCCAAGTAGCTGGGACCACAGGCGCCACCACCATGCCTGGCTCTACACATGTTTATTAATAAAGTGCCCAGTGTGTGTCAGGTCCTGGAGACAAAGCGATGTGTAAGAGAGGCAATAATACCCGCTCCAGTGAGGAGACAGGTTGTTGATTACGTATTTGTTTATAAAATAACAAAATAGAGCAGGACAAGGGGTCGGGGCATGGGTACGAATGGTTCAAAAATTTTAAGAGTGGTCAGCCAAGGTCCCAGTTTGAAGGAGGTGAGGGAGGGAGCCATGCAGGTATCTAGGGGGAGGACAGCGCAGGCCTGTGCAAAGGCCCTGAGGTGGGGCTGACTGCGTCTGGTGTGTTCAAAAAAGAGTGAGGTGGCTGAAACGGGACTGAGTGGGCACTAGTTGGGGGCCGTGAGGGTGAGGAGGTTGCAGGGTGGCGAGGCAGGGCCCAGGGGCTCAGTAGAGGCCAGCATTTTTGTGGGGGCTGGAAAAATCTGTTATTTAGAAGAATCAGTTGTCTACAAAATGTTCCAAGAAGAGAGTAAACATGAAATGCAACGATGACCTTTTGTTTCAAGTCACGGAATATACAGCGTCTTCACAGAGCGCCCCATGTCACAGGCATCCTTAGGATGTCGCTGCATTTGGAATCAGAGGTCTAGGTTGCGTTGTTTTCACTCTGAGAGGACTTCAGCGAACGCCCAGCAACGGCGAAGAAACCACAGCAAACTAAATGAATTCTTTATGGATAAATATGTTCAGGCAAAGGGATAAAAATGTGCTTTCAAAAGGTGGCAGCAGTGACCCGAGAGGGGAGTGAGCACAGCTTTTTGAAGACGGATTTAAAAGGCTCTGGGCCCTGGTGGATGTCTGAGACTTGGGAGGGGCGGGTCCCAGGACTGACTTGAGGCTCCTTTTTCCAGCTGCAGGTGACGCTGGGGCCCCTGAGTTACAGAGGAACCCGGGTGTGGTGGTGGCCGTGTGTTTGTTGGTG